GAGGACCTGATAGTCCCACAGTGTTGGAAATTGTGTTAGGAACAAAACCCCTGATACTTTGCCTTAACCGTATTCCACTCTACGTCTGTACTGTGCTTACGTAATTCTTTACCATACTGGCCACACATGCACGTGTTTCTCCGATATTCTGTCACTTTATGATACACCTGCAGGGGGTTAGGCTCATCAGTGTGCTTTTTGTTAGATACTCTACTTTTGAACTTGTAGCTTTTAATTACCTCAACTAGTACCAGTGTCGCCAGTATGACAAATGATTGTGCAAGTTATGCTTCTAACTGCCTGATGGCAGTTTGTGAATATAATGCGGTTATCGTGTAGTGGCTGATGGACTTCAGCCCAAACATTTACATCAACTTACGGTCTACGCCTGTAGCTCCTTGAATATACTGATCTCCACCAAGGTAAGAATTATATTCTGAAGAATTTAAAAGCGCCACTGTAAGTATACTTAATTTTCCAACCATTTCAGGTCTTCATCAACTATGGCGATCATGATAATTTGTTCCTTCTGTGCGAGTATGGATTTTGCATACCCGATGGTCTTAATCCCTCAGACGCCTACTTTCCAACGTATAGCGATTTGCTTCTCGTCTTTCCCAAGATGGCTGATAAGCTTGACCATGTTCTGACTGAGTTGCACATTGACGTTGATGCCAGTGAGCACTTACCAGAGTCTGTTAACCGCTACTGGAAATCTGTGTACATTACCAGCTCTGGTCCATCCTACTTTCTCCTCCTCGTCCTTTACGCGCTTTCCTTTCAAACTGCTGAGCTACCGTCAGCCAACCAGCTCTTTTCAATGGATGAAGACGAGTGCCTTGCGCTCACAAGGCCGATTTTTCTAGCCCTTCGAAGGGCTGTTCTCACCCAGACAAAACTGGTCTTGCAAAAACTAGACAGCATCTCGACTGAAGACGCTGGCAGCAGTTTTGTCGGTCAAGTAGTCACTCTTCTTCGCTCGAGGTGTCTCTTATTCTCGTCACTAATAGACGAATCAGTACAGAAGAACAAGAGGTGATTTGCCCCTTTGTTTGCTTTTAATTTGGAGGTTTGGACGACCGCTTGCTGTCCATTCGTCCAGGTGTTCTCCAAACTAGAATCTTTGCTGAGTGAACAACAAGCCAGTTTTTGGAGTCTTTCCATTAACCCCCTGTTTTGCATATTTT